CGTAGCACGGTTCCACACTGAGGAACTCACCACTTACAGGTCCTTTGGTTCAGAAGATGCCTAACAAACCACTAAATCTGCCAGCACTTGTTTTGATGCCTTCCCATTGTTGTCTGCCAATGTCTATCAATATATGCAGCTTGTATGCTGCTGAAATGCCCTGCCTATCTGTCCTATCCGACTTTGCCTATGACTTAATTGTTTTTTGCTGTGTAAGCAGTAACAGTGCTATTATTTTTTTTAATAATGTCTTGATTCTGGGCTTATTTGAGGCTGCCAATTTCACACCTGACCGGGGACTGTGGATGGAAACTAGACTCCTGGAAAATTCTGGCATGGTAATGTGTATTAGCATGCACTGTCCCTGACAAAGAAAGTGAATAAATAAAATAACCCACATTGTCCTGGTAACATTTAGTTTCAAGTACATTTCACAGTGCCTTGAAAAAAGGGTTTTGAATTTCTTCTTCTTTTTAAACCCAATTTAGGACGTCAAACTATACATTCAGCAGTTCAGAAAACTAGTGACCGCTCCATTCGGGTCAATCAACCTCGTACCATCAAAGTCCTGATCCTGGCTGCAGGCAAGTGGATACAGCTCAGCCGTGATGTCTTCCCTTTCCACCATACTTTTCATTTTCATACAAACGTCTTTTTCTCCATATAATCCCTAAGGGCCTGTGCCACAATCCTATTGTTGAAATTTGCATTTTCAAAAGAAGGTGCAGGCGAGCGCAGGCTGTCATATGATGGTGAGACATTTATTTTTGCCAGCGGGTCAGGGTCAGTAAAAAAAACAGCGAAACGGTATCGGGATTACGGATTCAGACAGTAGGTTTCCGGCTTTTATACCTAATGGGAAAATCTTGCACTTGCAGTAAATCAAAAAGCTGGAGAACAAAAAAAAAGAATACAATTTCATTTGAATCAAATTAATTTAAACTGTGAGCAGAGTAACTAACATTTAACCTGCTTTGAAATCTTAAAATCTTAAAATACGGCATGTAGTCGTTCTGGTATTTAGAGAAGTGTGTGTGTGGACCATCTGACCTGGACCCCGACGGCGGAAACTTTTATGATTAGCCTTCTATCGGCCCTGGCAGCGCTGAGCCGAGGATACTTTTTGGGATTTGGTTGAGGTGTTTGTCTGTCAGCTGGGTTGTATGGTAATTTGTTGTTGTTCACCTTTTGAAAGCATTTCAAGTCAGTCAAACCACTTTGTCTCGGCCTGGAGGCTGAGCTCTGGTTTCATGTCGGGGATCAAAGCAGCAAAACTCTCCCCTGTATTTACTGCCACTCCGTTCTGTCTGACGGGATCCTGGGCCGCGCGCACTGCAACTGTAAATTGTGATTCACCAAAAATGTAGCCTCCAGCTCAGCAAATGTCGTAAATTCTGTTTGAAACACGCTCATTTAAATTCTCTCTGGTTCACACGTACAGTATCGTAGCTGGTGCTGGCTGATAAGTTTAAAGAGAAGTCTGACTTTAGGCTGTTGTTGAACTTCACTTGGAGGAAAACTATTCAATTTCCGTGCTCTGTAAAAGCCCTGGCGGTCAACGGTAATGGCCAAATAGTTTTAAAATTATGAATCCATATAATGTTGTGCAGGAGGGTCGGGGCCAAGTAGAACTTTGAAAATGCATTAGCGTGCAGACTATTTGACAACACATACATCTACTACTTGCTGTATGTACAAAACAAATCTCGCAACCGGAAGTAGTATTCAGCACGACGACGGAGGATGCGACGTTGGAACGTGACGTTTCGACCGGAGGTGGAGGAAGCCATGCTAGCGTTGTGCTAACGTTAGCTAACGCGGCGGCCTAGACTCGGCGGAGGTGCAGCCCCGCCCACACCCCACCCGCACCTCCACCTGTGTCTTTAACGCAGCCGGGACTGACCACTTCCGCTGCCCACGTGGGTCCACAACCTCTGGACGTGCCAAACTCCAGCTGTTCACCGAAGTTTGTAAACAGTCCTATGTGTTATTGCTAATGACGACTTCCCGGGCGTCCATTAACCCAGCCGTCACTTTGTTTTAGGACGGCGGGCGGAGAGGAGGCGAGACACCGGACGGGTATCACCCCGAGAAACGCCACCTCCGGTGACGTTAATTAGAAATGGTGAGTAAAACCGTGACAACGTAGCTGTAACGTCACGCATCACGTGTACCTGAAATACGTATTTTATACAAACATAATCATTGAAGTTGGTATTTTGTACTTTGTATTAAAAACTTGTGTTTTTTTCTCTGACATTGTCACTGTTTGTGCACGTGACTAGAGGGTCGCGTGGGAGTTTGCACAACACGCGTGCGCGCTCAGCTTTGATTTGGTCGTTGTGTTTTTACTAATGTTCATTCTTCATTCTTTTTGGTGCTTCTTAAACTCTCCACTCAATGTCCATCTCCATTTGGTCCTTGTTCATATTTTTAGCTTTTATTTATTTATTCATTCATTATTCAGGATTTTTTGCACAATATAATGCCATAAATCCAAGATGAATGCTTCTGCAAGATGAATTAAAATTCAAACGTGGACTGACTCAAAAATGAGGACTCCACATAAAAACCCCAGTGCCTGTTATATTCCGATGAGTCCACAGATTTTTTTTTTTAAATCAATAGTGTGCCGACATTCGTGTCATTTACTAAGTAATATTATTTTTAAAAAACAAGAACAACCCCCCCCCCTACAAATAAAGACGCTATCAGTAGTAAGTGATTTGAGGGACACGGTACATTCCACTTATCGCTAAGTGGCCAAGCAGGCTTATTCTCGTCATTTCATGGTGTGTGATGCACAATGTGCAATTGTGTGTAATGGAGATTCAGTTGTGGGAGCAGATGATGATAAAACCATTAGCATTCTGATTGAAAACAGATTATTTAAGTTGCATATTTAGCTTCTCTCTATTACAGGTAACAATCTACGTGTGTGATTCTTTTGTACAAAATGCCACATTTGTTTTTCATTTTTCTATGCTATAATATTTTTCTTTTTAGAGTGGGTTGAATTAGTATGTTGCTCAGGTTGAAGTTGGGTGGAGCTGTGCGGGTATGTGAAGCAAAGTGGGACATAGGACAAAGTGAAAACGGTCAATGGGTGTGTAGAGCCTTTTGAAACCCCTCCTTTCTTAAATACTTTTGAAAATATGCCTTTGCCAGGGAAAAAAAAATGCCGCAAGTTTGTACAGTCATGAAAAACCTGGAAAAGTGAGGGGATTTTAAAATGGCCATTTCCAGGCCTGTAAAAGTTGTGAAATGATAAAATAAAATCCCCAAAGTCATGGTAATGTGTTATATTCATATGTTCATGTCGTTCATTTAAGATGAGTTCTAACTAATTCATATGCTTTTAAAACAGACGCTCAAAATATAAGCAGGCACACGCTTTCATACTCTAAGCGCAAGTGATTTGCACCGTGGTTGTGAAGACACCTTAACTGTTGCGTATCTTTAGTTTAATAAAAAAAAAGCATAAAAAGCATAAAAAGCATGAATCCCCCCAAAAAAGATTAATATTCCACAAATTCCAATTAATTAATACATACTCTTCTGGCTTCTACACCGTACGTATTCTGTAAACTGTTAACAAGTTCATATATTGTTTTTTGTTTTTTGAAAAAAACCTAAAAACAACTTTGGTTCAGCGACCGTTTAGGCAGCGCTGTGTTTTATTAGCGTCGTTTTAGCACCGCTATCAAATACCCAAACGAAACCCATCCCTAGTGGATAATTGTAAACGCTGAAAAACCGACTTCCTTCGGGCCTGATTGAATTGGAGGAGAAACTGTGTGTGTGTGTGTGTGTGTGTGTGTGTGTCAATACTACATTTCCATTGGTCAAAATGTGTGTGAACCTTGCAGGTGTAGTAGAGCGCTAGAAATGAGATGATGGAAGGAGGGAGGGCACATGTTAACCATGCAGCTCACACAGCCGGTCCAGCGCTGAGTGGGACAGCTCGGTATGGGCCGTGGCACACGCCCGCCCTCGGGCCTCCCGAGCGTCGGCATCCGGAGGTGACGTGTTTTCAACCGGTGCGGCGAGTGGTGCGTGTAATCACAGGAAGGACTGCCCTCTCGGGTGTTGTTGTGATAATAAATGACTTTCGAAGGCCATTCATTTCCGTTCCAAGGTTTCCAAAATGTGGACGCTGAAAGTTCCTGGACGCTAAATGATAAATGTGTCAGGACCTGATCAACTATCCATTGCACGAGCGGTCTGAATGCCGCGCCGGCCGCATTTGTTAGAAAGAATGATTGTAGCCGTGGCAATGTATGTCCCGAGAACATTTTCTCATGGGACAATCCATCAAAACGCGCTGTCATGTTGTGCGCCGGCTGTAACTATTTGAGCGCGCACATGTTTTTGGAAAACTTCCTTTTTTTTTTTCCCTCCTCAGCCAGCGACAACACTTGGTCGGTGGCATTTCCCATTGTTGTTCCTTAAAGTGTCATAGCGGTAATGCAATTGTATCAACGCGCAGCAGAAGGTCAACTTTAAAAGGTTTTTCATTACTGCAAAGGTCAGCGCTTTCCAGGTGTGAAGCTGAAGAAGCCGGGAAAGTTAAAAAAAAACAAAAAACAAAATAGTAAACATTTGTTTGAAGGAATCGTCGCGGATTGTTTCAAACGTGTTCGTTTTCGTCGCCGTGTTCGTTTGGATTCTCTTTAAGCTTGGCTGAAGTCAGCGACACATTTATCGTTCAAACTCACATAATTGCCATAGTTCCTCGTGTGTGTGTACACGCTCTATTTCTTTGTGTGTGTTTTTGTGTGCTTGCTGTTCCTTCCACTACCCTGAGCGGTGGCTAGGGGGTGCACTGTGGACACGGTGTGTGTGTGTGTACGGGCAAGAGAGGGAGAGGAGGGGAGAAAGAGCGAAAGAGTGTGTGTGTTTTTGTGTGTGTGTGTGTGTGTGTCTGTCTCAGTAATGTATTCCTGCCTGTGGCTGGGCTGGTCACATGGGGAGAGCAGCCTGTTTAAAACCAGCCTCAGCTCTCTCACTCAGAACAGTGCAAGACACAGAGACCGGCGCACACGTCCTCTCCCTCCCGCACGCACTCACTCATACGCACACGCTCGTGCACGCAGACGGCAACTTTCTTCTATCGGACTGATACGGCACGAGTGCAGGGATAGACACACTCCCCCTGCTACGGTGGAGAAGAGGATAAGCAGTGATACAGAGAAGAGGAGGTTTCCAGTGAGTAGCAAATAGATTATTTTCTTCTTTTTCTCATTTGTCTTTTTTTGTGTGTGTGTGTGTGTTGTCAGCGCTGTCTGACCGGGACATGGAAGAGACTGAGAGTGGTCAAGAGAGTTGTGTGCATGGGACTGTGAGGGGTGTAAAGGTGACAGTGGAGGAGCGGGGACGGGTTGCCGTGGTACCACGTCCAGGTGCTGCTCCATCAACGCGTCGCTCCGTCTGAGGGACCCGCCGCCGTTAATGAGCAGCGTGCGCCTGGAATGAGAGGAATGCTGCCGCTCCGCTCCGGACTCCGAGGCTCTCCTGAGAGAGGGAGAAGGGGGGAGAGAGCAAGTGTGTGCGCGCCCTCTCTGTATTTTGTTTGGCTTCTGTTTTGTGTGTGTGTGTGTGTGTGTGTGTGTGTGTGTGTGTTTTTAGCACGTCGCGGTGGTCAGCCGCGCCGATGTCCAGCAGATTCCCGAGACGCGCGGCGCTCCGGCTGTGATTTATAGAGACTCATTGATATGCCGATGGAAGGGGGTCGTGGGGGGGTGCAGAACGCGGCGCTCCGTTCCAGGGGGCAATATGAGTGATGTCTTTCGGCGGACAGTCTCACCCGCCTCTCATCCCCCCCTTTATGTCCCCTGTCTGACCGTATCTGTCCCTCGCTGTCCCACCGACTCCATGTCTTTTCCTCTTTCATCATCCCCTCTTACCCCCCGCCCCCCCAGCTCCCTTCTTGTTGCTGCCACTGATCTCTTGCTCTCTTGCGCTCTGGCGCTTCCCACTGTCTTGTCTTTTCATTAACTTTTCTTCCAGTCTTGTTGCCCCCCCTGTTTTTCTACGGCTCCTAATCCCCCTCGCACTCATTTTCTCCCCCACGCCGGTAGGACCCGGAATACATAGAGGATTCCTCAGCTGCATAGAAAGAGAGAGGATCGCAGAGTTGTGCGGAGGGGGGGGTGAGGAATTAAGGGGAAAGTGGAAGGAGCGGAGGGGGTTTGGGGAGAGGGGGGGGGGGGCATTGAAAGGGCTGACACTGGCTCGGACAATTAGCCCGGAGAGTCTGTCCTGGGGTGCTATTCTGAGAGGGGCTTTGGCCCCTGGGCGCTGGGTCACGGGATGCCTTGACCCCTCCAGTCGACAGCTAGGCATGGGAGCCATTATCACGGCCTGATTGATTAGCAGCGAGCGGAAGTCCCTTTTCTCTTCCCTCCTCGCGAGAAGAAGACGGCAGCTTTTTGTCCTTTTGCTGCTGCCGGTTTAGTATCTGGCCGCCTGAATGTGGAAGACTCCGGCTCTTTTTTGTTTCTGTTTTACAGTTGTCAGCTAAGGAGGTCCGTCCTCGATATATCTTCTCTCTGTGGGCTTTTTCTCTCCCTTTCCTTCTAGACAGCACGTGTGTGATTTTGGATCTGTTTAACTAACAAGACAAACCAAGTTGCCCTCTGAGAAAGATAAAGCAAATCTGACTGTGTATTCCATTCACTTTCTTTGGGCCCCTTTTTCTCCGTGCGTCCAGGAGTTGTGCACCTGCGAGGTGTTTAGTAATACCCTGAGACCAAAAAAAAGAAGTTGTGAAAAGAAATGTGAATAAAAGACCAGTGTCTGGGCGGCTAGGAACTCAACGTCCGCCGTTCACCTCTGGGCTTTTCCTGTTGTGTAATGGTGGGGGAATCCCCACCCATTCTTGTGTTCTGGATCTCTCGTGGTCCACGTTCTGCTTAACTCCGGCTACTTCGCTTCTCCCGCAACGCCCCTCCCCGACTCCCTCTTCAACCTGTTTTGGGGGGGTTATATCTGGATTCCCGGTGCTATAAGCTATTAGGGTCAAAAGGCCTCATCCCACCCCGCCCTAAGGCGGCCCCTTTTTCTCCCCTATTTGGGGGGGGACCAGAAGGAAGAAGGTTGGGAAGAATTAGGTGGGAGGAGAAAAAAAAGGGGGGGGGGGGGGGGGGGTGCAAATAGAAACACTGACAGAAAGAGTTCAAGGGAGAGAAAGACTGCTCAACAGGCCGATGGAGAAGAGGCACAGATGGGCCAAGAGCGGCAGAGGCAAGCGGGATGGAGGGAGAAACAAGCCGAGAGGGGAGGAAGTAAAAAAAGAAAGGAAAGACACTTGTTGTCCAACTCTCGCAAGTCGAGGCAGAAGAGCCGATACGAGCTCCGAGAGAGACACAGGCAGTAAATATATATCCAGTCCTTTTTTTTTTTTTTCACGGAGGGACCTCGCACCAGTGCATCCAGTTAAGGCCAGCACAGAATAGCTCCCACACATGGTTTGGTTTTAGGCTGGAAGCAACACCAGACGGGGAGAGGCTTATGTATGTGTGTGTGTGTGAGACGGAGAGAGAGGGAAAGAGGGGGAGAGATAACGAGACAAAGAGAACCGTGTGTGTGTGTGTGTGTGTGTGTGTGTGTGTGTGTGTGTGTGTGTGTGTGTGTGTGTGTGTGTATGTGTGTGTGTGTGTGTGTGTGTGTGTGTGTGCGCCTATAACCCACCAGACGGGCGCATGCATGTAAACCGTATATTGATTTTTCTTTTCTTTTTTTTTTTCTTCTACCGGCCATAAAAAACACCAGCCAGGCTTCTTGGACAATGACCCTGAATCCTAAAGTTTTTATGGGTTCTTATTAAGGCATTTCTTCAGGAGAGGAAAGTAATTCAATTCTTCAGTAGACAAGGGGTTAGAAAAGGGAGTATTATAACCTTGAGAAATGAAAAGTCCTTAAATTGGGAGAATGGTATTTACATCTTATCAAGGGGCCCGTGATGATTAGAAAAGGGCCGCGGGGCCGTTTTAAAAGTGATTCTCAGGAAACTGGGGGGCACAAATTGATGGAGTAGTGATGTCAGGTTTGATTAACTGTCACTAAAAAGACTGCCGCTCAAAGCGTGAGTGCCTTTTCCACGGCAGACACTTGGGAACTTCTGCCCCCCCCCCCACGTCATTCTCTCTCTCATTCTCTCTCCCATTTATTCCTCCACCGTCTCCTCTGATTCTCTCCCCCGCGCCCCCCTTCTTGCCTCTCCACTCCTATCCCCACCTTGCAATGCTGCTGTTTACGCTTCAGACAGAAGAAAGGTAAGGTAAAACTAGGATAATATTTCCCCTAACATACTTAGCGCCGGGGTAAACATCCTCGCACAGATGTCCGAGTGTGGTACTGATCAGAGGAGGTGGAAGGGGGGCGCGAATCTCACTGCTGTAAGGTACACAAAGGCAACAAATTGGAAGCCGGTGTGGAGAGCGTGGAGAGGGGTGAGGGGGGGGGGCACGAAAGGCTTATTTTTTTTATCATCATAGAGCAATGTAGGAAACCTCCAAGGAAAGTTTTTTCGAATGACAAACTTCACTTCATTAATGTACAATAGAAGGTTTTGGCTGTTCTCATGTCAACGTTCCCTCTGCAAGCAGGTGTGTCCTCGCTGCGCCAAAGTTTGCATGCTGGCAAAAAGAACCACCGGCGCAAATATCGCAGAGGGACTTCATCCAAGTTAATTAAGTAAAAATTCTGAAAGGATTTGGATTCCATTAGGCCGGCTCACTGAATTTGGGTTTGACAAAATACTTCCGAACCTCAACCAAACGATGGTGTGGGAGCGAGGCAGCAGGGTGGGGAAGGGAAGACCGAGCACTTCCAATAGGGTACCTGTTTTCACTTGTATATCTAAGATTACCGTAGGGTATGAATTCCTCACGCACCGTTCATACAGGTGTTACGCCTGACGTTGCTCTTCGTCGGTCGGCAGAATTTATTTTTACACGTCATCGCGAATCGTTACTCTTGGTGTCTTCTGCTAGCACTCACGAGTAAACACAAGTTGCATCTCTCTGGATGTAGCTAAATGGCATACCCCGAATCACACAGGTCCGTTTCACTGCCGGTGTCTTGGCCTCGGCTCCTTTCAGTGCCCGAGCAGTTACGGTAAGAATAATTGCATGATGAAACTATAAAGAAAGATTCACTTTGTTGGGCGCAGATCTCTGCCAGGTGTGTCTGCAGCAGGGCCTCGGTGTAACGTTTGATCGGAATGGATCCGACTGACTTTTAAACAATTGTTTAGACCGCAAGTACGTCAGACATATTTCTCGGGTGTGCGCGTCTAACACGGTGCCCTTTAACAAGGAACAAAATAACTGTCTCCGGCTGCTTGGCAGCTGCTGAGCTGTGATGATGCACTCGGATAGGTGTTGAAATTTGTTGTGCTGCTAGCTGTTTGCCAAAATAATAAAAATTGGATAACTCCCTTTCCCCGGTAGAAATCTATTTTATGGTTTGTCCCCACCGTGTCTCTGGCTGGGGGTTAGCGATGCACTCAGCTGTGTCATTTCTAGCGGCTCCTACCGGCTGCGGGACGGTTTGGAGAAGTGAGCAAGGAGTCGGCAGCCAGTGAGTGGCAGCGTGAAACTGGTATGAAAGGTGCTTTGAGGAAGTGTGAATCGCTTAAATCTCAAGAGGTCCTTGAGCACGCTGGGTGTACTTTGACTGCTGAAATAATATGCAGTCTAGTGCAGCAGAATACGAGATGAGCCGTGGACACACACACACACACACACACAGGTGCTCGCTCATTCACGGGCACACACACACAGGTGATGGCGTTATTCTCCCGGCAGGAAGGCAATTGAAGTCATTGTTGTAAGTAGTTTTGCTCGCTATGTTTAACATGTAACCCAAACTCACCTGACGGTGAACCCAAACAGAGTACGGAATTTTCTTGACTTGACATGCCCACATATTACATATTTAATACCTCAGCGAGACAAATACTGGCGAGCAGTTTTAAGGCAACAAGCCTCCAAACAGCAGCGGAGACGCCAGAAAGTCAGCGAACGCACAACTCCCACACTCCCCCCTGTCTAGCCTCTCTCTCTTTAGTCAGAAATGCCACTTGCTGTGTGCTTTTATCTGCTTTTATCTGAATACACCTGAGGGTTGAAGACGTGACAAGATTTTGTTGAGATTTGGTCCCAATTAAGCCGCCTCGCATGTATTTCAGAGAGCTTTATTTT